ATTCACTAAATACGGAGTTAATACACATGTTATGCTTACACGAAATTAAATTAACTAAAATTCACAAATAAAATAAACAATGAAAATAAAATAACAAAAATAAAACAGATTTTGTTATGTTACCTAGTGACGGGACGAACAAGTCGGTACGCCTTGAGGTAAGCGATTGCGCATAGCAGTTGCAGTGCCACTCAGAGCTTTAAATCGCAAAGATCTGAGGGGCACTGCCACTGCGTCTGCCACTCTGAGATATAACTTGACTAATGACTAGTCCCATGTGCCTGTAATTAACATAATAGCCACGGAGGAAAGCTCGTTTTCCATGAAGTATTATTGCTTCGGCATCGAGATACCTTTGAGGTTCCTACCTTTTACCTATATTTCATAAACCATCTCGCATTCTACATCGCATATCACGTTTTCTCGTACCCTTATTGTGTCCTAAATGTTAGATAAATGTCAAAAAGAGATGCATTATATTTTACTGGGTTTAAGTCTTTTGCATGCAATTGTTTGTGTTCGTACGTTCGTGTTATTGTCGTAATTGAGATCACGAATCCTCGACCGAGATCCCAGTAGTAGCGCTGTTTTAGAATTATATGTACGTATTATACGTACGTACACGTATTTGAGTAGTTAATTAAAATTTTTTGCGTGCACATAAATTTGTTTGGTTATGTTGAGAGCTAATTATCCGATCTGTTATTTTGTATTGTTATTTAAATTTAATGAACTGTCAGTGTTCAGAAACTAAACATCCAATCAGCCATCATACTGTGGTACAGAAACTTGTAATTAATGATTAATCACGAAAGTCTTAAAATCTATAATAACATTTGTCTATTCTACGTCGTTGAAAACCAAATGCAAAGATCCGACAATAAGCACATAGAAGAATTCGTGAGGTCCGTTGGTTCGTTCAGCGGCTTAGTTCTCATAGCGTCTGGCATGGCTTGCTAGAAGACGTCGGTCGGTTCGAATCCGGCTTGATCGAAGGATGTTTTTCTAAGTCTTAGATCTTTGTGTTAATAATTATGACAAATTAGTGGAGTAATTTCACAAAAAATAATTGACTATCAATTCAATACAAATTTAATTGTTGTCTATTGTTTTATAAATTTAGTACCTACCTATTGAATTTAGAAGTGACCAATAATAAATTTTGCCTGCATATTTTCACGTATACATAAAACTCAAGAGACGTGCAAGCATGTACAAGCCCATCCTTTTTACCCGAAGCAGCTAAGAAAATAACATAAATAAAATGTATACACCGAGCTTCTGTTTCCACAAACTCGGGTACTACTATAATATGCTATGGCTATGGTTTTGGTCATTGAACTCGTGACAAAACGTGATCGGACAAAGCAAACGAAATTTTGTACATAATAAATATCGTATGCAATAAACAAAAAACTTAATAAATTTTTTATTTGATGGTTAATATTTTTTGCAAACAATTTGTCGCCAGGTAACTAGTGGTTGTAATCAGTTCATCAATCTTAACGCTTGGAGTTTGGTTCGTTCTTATTGCAAGAGGGCATTATTAGCATCGATGCAATCGCCTATGTATATCCCAGCCCCCGTAGTATGGTTACGCATGATAGTCGCGTCGCGCGCGATAAAATTGAAACAAGCGCGCGCTATTGGCTGTCTCAATCGTATAATAATCATAATATGATAATCATAATAGCGCGTGCTTATTTCAATTTTATCGCGCGCGTTGCGACTATCATGCGTAGACATGCTACGAAGGCTGGTGTAGCGATGCAATCGCGCGTTTATATTGATGCAGTCGCGGGCTTGCATCGCGTTTGCATTGCTGTTTAAAATCGTGCACGTATGTAAAGGTAGACGATTAGCGACTGCATCGCTGCTAAATATCGTCGTGCGTAATCGCTCTTAATCTTTAGTGTCAAGCTTGACGTACCACTGACTTTGCACATTCAGGATTACTTACATCAAGCTGACCACTTTCGACCGTTCTTATCGTAAACAGCACATAGGAAATAAATCTTGTATCAAGTTTGAAGTATTCTTGATCCTGTACTGTTAACTATACATAAACATTAGTTACGTGGTCGCCATGGATGCTCGATGGCAGTCGCTACCGATTTAACACTTTACCATTATGTCATATACCTGCTAGGGGAATAATGGAACATTTACTTTAGACGTTGTTATTTATCTTGGATAATTAATAAGTTTGTCTTGGATTTCCCGAGCTATTGTTTTTTGTTCTTATAAGTAGATAATGGAGAAATTATACTATTGATTTGATTACTGAAAGGTTTTTTAATAAAATGCAAGTGTGCTAAAATGTAAAATGTAAGGTCAAATGACCTCCATCACTCACCTGATGGAAAGTGACGATGAGGTCGACGATGGAGTTTGCACACCTAAGTAATGCCTATTTACTCTCGCCTTGAAAAGACCCAAGTTATAACGTTCAGGGAACAAGTCTGCAGGCACAGAATTCCACTCCATAGCCGTTCGCTTTATAAATGTAGAAACGTAACGCTTCGTGCGAATCTTTGGAATATCCACAAATAGGGGTGGAACCCAAGCCTACGTCTAGTCCCCCGGTGATGGAAAGGGGAAGGCGGAATTAAATCGTATAATTCCATCACACACTCTCCCATGATATATCCTGCAACATGCCGATAAGTAGGCAATTTTCCGGCGGTGTTCAAGGGTTTGCAGCTCCGCCTCCACTAATTCCGAGTCACCTATAAGCCTTTTGGCACGGTTGTCAATGTTGCGTGGCCAGTTGGTATGTAGCAGAGCCATCCCAAAGGTACTCCATGCACGACCGGACTTGTGCTTGGTACAACTGAAGCAATTGAAGATGGGCTACACTTGATTTTTATATTACGTAAAGGCGGTATCTCACAGTCCATTATTTTGGTTAATTACTAATAAGAAAGGATGCGGTCGGTGTGGCTATCGGTGGTCATCAGTCGTGCGAGGAAATCTGTAAAATCACGGGCTGTGTGTGGCCACCTTTAGAAGTTGCACATTCAGCTGTCGACCTTTTTACTAATCCAAATGCTTGTTAAACAACTTGACAGATAACTACCATTAAAGATACATACCATTAAATATATAATAGATCACGACTATTAAAGATACAAGGTGTCTGCCTATTTTAATGTGTAAGTCGGTAATTACTTATTGCGCTAATTACTTCGGAGAAATGAAATCGTAACGAGATTAGGTAAGCACGATTTTGTTAATGATAGCTAAAGTTCAATTTTGTTTTAACGCCTCTGTGGCCGAACGGTTGCCATGCTGGTCTGCACGCAAAGGTCCCGGGTTCGATTCCCGGGCCGGGAAAAATATTAGTATGGCCTACATTTATTTTTCTCATGAGTTTGGGTGTAATTTGTGCGCGGTTCCCTAGTGCGCGGCTATGAGTGTATGCGTTATTATTATATCATTATTATAAGAATCGTTAAAATGAGATCAGAAAGTGCTAATTTCATAGTCGTTCAACATATCTATGGCCGTATTATATTATAACTTATCTAATACTATTAGAATTTAATGTTCACCAAGCTTCTTTTTCAAACCATCAGACCATAAAAGCGTTTAAGAGATGTGCGACGCATAATCGTTAGTCGCTCTACATTCCATCTTGACGTGAAATAGTTTGATTTACATCGAATGTTCGCGATCAAAAACCTTACCATGCATTCCTGTTAATTCCATCTAACGCCTCAAAAGGCATGAAAGCTATTTCTTTGAGTTTATGGATAATTCTATTGACACGGTAGCAATAAATTTTGCTATTTGTGGAATCCACATGTTTTTCAATCTGTTACTAGGTTTTACTCAATGGCTTTGGCTTGACAGTTATTTGTTGACATTAATTATACATATTTTATGAGAGAAATCGGCCCTAATAAATCTTCTTGTTTGGATTGAAACTGAGGTACAGTAACCGAGATAACTCTTTGTCAATAGTCAAGTAGTTGCCGTTATGATTGCCCTTTTGTGGATTAGGTGCAATAGCAAACATAAAATTACAAAATATAAAAGAAAATATATAACTAAATATGTTTACAAAGAGCAATTTCTAGATTTTTCTTAATCGTTCTTAGCAGGGAACCGGCCCAAGGAATAAGCAGTTTAATAATCTTTATTTTAATTTGGCTGGCTGGCTGTCAAATGGTTTTAATTTTATTGTATATCATGACACTTACTTCTATGATTTACATTCATTTTTTGTGAAATTACTACCATTAGTTTGTTAAAATTTATTGATACAAAGAAAAGTTCCTTGGATCTGACAAGACACGAACCTGCGCCTGTATGCCAAACTAGAGCTGGCAAGCAAGCAGCTCTACCAACTAAGATACACATCGAGGCAGCGGATTTTATGAATTTCTTTACTTATTCTTTTTGTTCTTGGGGTTCCACTCCTATCGGAGATTGGACAACACCATAGCAAGCCTGACTTTAGAGCTTAAACCGCAAGAAATCAGCTTGAAACATTTTAAGTTTGCCTACTTGGTTTAATTTTATGTAGCTAGCTCCTCCTTTTTATGCTTGAGAGACCTTATTTATACTATAAACTGTTTTAAGAAGGAGTCAATGATATAATTATAACTTTTTTTTTTAAAAAAAAAAGGAAACCGACCTCAAAAATTTGTGGAATTACATGTGATTGCCAAGTTTTACCGAAATCGGTTGACGCAAAGTGAATAAAATCCAATAAACCGGATTCATTCCCTAATTATCCAATTTTGCAGGTGAAATATTTTTTCAAATTAGAATGGGACCAAAAAAAAATAGAATAATTGAAATGTTTACAAATATTGGAGTAATCTTGTAACATGGAAAAAAAATCATAATTAAAAATACAGCCCGATTGAAGTCGCTTAAAAGAAATGAAGACATTTGTGGTAGAATATGACAAAGGAATATCAACGTTTCTTCTTGCTCGTAATAAAAGATCTTGAATGTTAAAACTAATATCTTACCTCCATTGTTTACAGATACAAAAATATCTGATCGACTATGAAGCCAAACCACAAACGACATTAAGGTGAGTCCAGAATGTAAATTTGTTATGCAAACAAACATGTTTCTAACCATAAGAACATAATGGGACCATTTAATCGTCAATCTATATGGAAGAATGCTCAGTTAATAAAGCAAAGGGCGTTGCTGCTTTTGAGATTGCCCCACATCCTACGCTTCTTTGTCAGAATAAAGACTTAAAATGACATTTATAGTGCTAATAATCTCAGTACAGAGTTCTAAAAAAATCGACCTCAAAAGTCATTCATCCTCTACTTTGCCACCCGTAGAAGCGGAATATTTTCTATAAATTTAAATAGGACCACCACTGAGGTATCCTCTTTCCAACAAAAGAAGAATCATCAAAATTTGTTCATAAAAGCCGGAGTCATCGCGTAACATACATACAAAAAAAAACTAACTGTCGAATTGAGAACCTTCTCCTTTTTTTAAGTTGTTTAAAAAGGTCTGAAAAAATACCAAATAAATTGTATTGCACTATACTTTTTAAGTTTCTATTTAAAAAAAAAATAGAAACGTACAAATATATAATCTCAGTACAGAATTCTAAAAAAACCGACCTCAAAAGTAGGTACGTGGAATTACATCTATTTGCCAAGTTTTATTGAAATCGGTTACCGGTAAGTGCGCGAACCGGATTTAACCCCTAGTTTGCCCCCCTTAGAGGTGGAATATTTTCTTCAAATTTAAAGTGACTAATATGGAGTTACTTTCTTTCCAACAAAAAAATAAAGCATCAAAATAGGTTCACAAATTCGGCCGGAGTTATCGCGTAACAAACATACAAAAAAAATACAGTCGAATTTAGAACCTCCTCCTTTTTTAAGTCGGTTAAAAGCACAATCATTACCACTATTCGGACACACGAAAGTATTTGAAATATCAATTACAAGCATTGACTTACAAATAAATACAAGATACATTTTTAGGTAGTAACTGACATACAAAAAAAAATTCGTATTGAAAGCACTGTCCAGCCTTGGCAGAAAATCCTGTAATTATTTGATTACGATACTCTATTAAATTCGAATATTTATTACTGGGGAATGCCATAGGTCATAAAAATAATTATAACTAATTACTGTGTAGTATAAGTATGTACTTAAGAGAAGTTATTTATTTTGAAAATGAAGCCAATAATTTTGTAGTCCTATAATGACAATATCCCCCTGTCTTTAACAAGTTATTTGGAGTCTTCGCAGTATGTCTTCTTGTTCTATTCATCTTTATCCACCCAACTGCCAACTTAAAACAAAACAAGAAAATAGTCATTTCGCCATGGCCATGGGACCTGTAAAGAGGCCGTAACGTTTATTTATTTGAAGAAAAAAAAAAGAAATGTACGCGATTTAAATTTCCTAAACAGTTACAATATGTAGCTATCGCGAAAACCTAAGAATTAGATTAAAATAAAAATCGAAAACAAGTATATGTAAGGAAAATTGCTAATATAAATATGAAACTAACACGTGTATAATTATTTGGTAGAGTAAGGGACGTATTTCTTACGTAATAAATAAATAAATAAGTAGCAGTAGAACTCCTTGTGAAAAAAATCGTCCAGGGAAGCAGGTATACTTCGTTTCAATTCATTTCAAACAAAAAGTAAACAAACAACACTGACCTGACCATAGACGGTTGAGTGAAGGCCAATTGTAATGCAAACTAAAAATCGATTAATTAATTGAATGAATCGATTTGTTTAATTGAGTCATACTAGCGGTTTTCCTTACATAAATAGTAAAAATATAACATAACCTATAAAAGCACATATTTAAAATTTCCGAAATCTTAATTTTAAATCCTTCAAATATTTACACTTACATGTAATAGACACTCGTTCGATAGCGATTGAAATTTTCGATTTACCAATCGATTACAAAAACTTTAATTGAATGAACGGAATGTTTTTTTTTCGTGCAGCACTATGCAACCATAGACAAGTCATAGAAGTATACATGAAAAATAACCTCACTTTTGGACTACTATTTTTCAGATACGATGTTACGATGTCATTCAAATGAATATTGTTGGAAAAGGTGATGAGATATCAAGTCGAAATCTTCGAAATAAACGTGAAAGTGTTATTTATTCGATTTATTAAGTGATTGCTATAGAATTTTAACCAAACAGGTTTGTTTACTTTTTCTATACTGTCATCTATTTGTCCCGACCCGACTCGCGCCCGACCAACACCCGCTGCTCTCTGTGTGTTTCACGCTTTAGGGTGCTGGTGTAATTATAGACATAAGGGACTTGACAACTTATGTCTCAGGGTGAATGGCGCCGTGGCAATGCCCCCCAGATAATTGCGATTGAAAGCTCTTAAGTGGCACTGCGACTCCTATGGACAGACGTGTCATTTATCACCAGGCGCACGACTTGTTAAATCCGGTTTGAACTGAAATCTTAACCTATATACAACGTTCTGATAAAAATATATGAACCTTCAGGATTCATAAAAACAGTGATAGGTTTATAGTAGGGCTGGGTGTAGCAAAATGCGACTTACACCAATCGTAAGTTACAATCGTGCGATTGGAATGCAAAATCGTGCTTATGTCGCAAATCGCAATACTCGCTCTGTTACGAAATGCGATGATCGTGGTATTGTAAAACGCATTTTACAGAGCTATTTATATGATGCACTCGTGTTGTAAGGTGTAAATCACGGTTTATGTTCGGTGGAACACCTTGTGTGGTTCCTATGTGATTCAAATTTGACGTAAGGCGTCTTTTGTGCACATAATTAAGAGCCTAGTATGTATATACGACATTCCGAGCGACAAATACAAATTTAGGCGTTACTTTGTGGAAATCCAAGTTAATCCTATATAATAAAGTAAGTTATCCGCGAATCCAGTGAATTTTTAACTGTGTAAAATAGTTGAGCTTTTGTTGAATTTTTATTCATGCAGTTTTAAGTATATTTACTTAATTCAAAATATATAATAAGACGGCTTGTACTGACACACAAATTCGCATTATAATGAAAGGCGCACGGCAAGACACGAATGCACCGACATTATGCGAATGTGTGCGTCCGTACACGACACGCGGCGGGCGCGCACACATACAAGACACGCTGTTACGTTTGTATGGAGTTATCATACTTGTTTTACTACACTTTGGTATCCTTATCAATTGCTATGCATTACATACTTTATTATATATAATTTTTATGATATCACGAAAGTAGTGCGCCTGGCATAGGGCTTTCAATTTCGCTGCGTTTCAGAGTCCCGGGAAAAAGTCGAGATTCGGTGCGGTATGGAAAATCCTGAGAAAAACGAGACTTTCGAGACTATTTCAAAAGTAGGTTTCCATATTTAGGCAGTCAAAGCTTGATATTTTATTTAAATTGTTTATTGACACAAATGATTAAAAAGCAAAATTTATTTGTCAAAATTTTTGTTTTCGTTTTTATAGTGGACACGTAAGAAACAAACAAAGAGCGTTTAGTACATTTACTTACAAGTCAATGGTTTAATATTATAGTTTCATATAGAGAGAATTTGTTTTTTTTTACTATCGTTCTTCAATCTAAAAATTACTGTTAATAGATTTCTTAATACGGTTTAATGGACTTAAGTGTCAAAAGTCGCCATATTCCAGAGACTGAAAATTCTCGAAAAAAGTCTCTAGTCTCGAAAATGCAAAAAAAGCCGAGTCTTATCAGAAATACCTAGCCTTGGTGGCAGCACTTCCATGGAGGAGCTGTACTACTTCTTCAATAATAATTATTAACCTGAAAATACGAGTACAATGTCTGAATATAATCGTATTTTCAGATGAATGTAAAGATAAACTTTTTCAATTTTGTATTAACGATAGTTTACTCAAATTACTGGTTCGTTATTGGCTTTGTATGTAAACCAATGATCTCATTCCTAAACTTATAGTTATTACCCTATTGAATGTGAGTAATATTATCTGTAAAAATATTCTACCCAAGGCGTAATCTATATTTATCTCAATTATCGCATCTAAATGACTGTAACGGTTTCAAAAGAATGGATTAAAATTTGTGTTTTATAACAAAGTTATTTATTTGAATGTATTATAGGGAATAAATACCATCTGATATATTGTTATAATGTCGACGAAATGCGTTGAAAAAGAACCTGTTTAAATTCTATTCATGTCTAGATTACATTGACGGTATTCGATGTATTTTGTTTTTGTAAGAGTCAAAGGCTGACATACTTTGAGCGTTTACGTACGGCGATTTTTTGTAGCGATACAAACGTGCGTTTGTGATGCGCGATTACATCGCGACACTAGCGATTTATTGACGCTTGCAAAGATGTTTTCACATATTGAATCATTAAATGCGGCTGTATCGGAGTAAACACGCTGTTGAATTACGCTTACGCATGTTTGAATCAAAGCAGACACGTGTGTGCATCACGTCAAACTGTCGCAGGCGGCTGAATATCCAATACCATAAAAAAGTGTCGCGACTGTATAACGCGTGCATTGTTACTGTATCGCGTTTGTACTTACTTACTTCGCTGGCTCAGCGACCCGAACTGGATCTTGACCTCTGACACTAAGATGCACCACTTTTCTGTCTTCTGTACCCTTGTTGCCAATCGGCTATTTGAAGCTTACACAGGTCTTTGTCGACTTGGTCGATCCAGCGTTATCTAGGACGTCCATCTGGCCTTCAACCAGTCGGTTGTCCCAGATATGCTCTCTTGACTGCACGAACCTCACCCTTCCATCATCATCCAGAATGAGGAAAAATTTAGCTAACATCATGGGAGAGACCAAATCAGCCCAACTTCGCTGCCTTAGCCATGTCGAGAGGATGGGTGAGTATCGCGTTTGTGTCGAAACTATATCACTTTTGTATCGCGGGCGTATCACTGCAGCTGCGACTGTATCGCGATCGTATCACAGCTTAAGACCCGCGTGTGTGTAAAGGTAGACGATTAGCGTCTGTACAGCTGCTGCATCGCGACTGAACTGCAGACGCACTGCTAAAAGTTGTCGTGTGTA